CCCAAAACTTGCCGGCCAATATTCAGTGAAAGGAGCCAAGGAGATGGGCATTTTGGCCTGCAATGCATAAGTTTGAACCCAAAGACAGGCCGAGAATGCCAGCCGTCGTTGAAACTCTTGAAAGCCTGCAAAATTTCAAGGACATGGCGATTTCTTGTGGGCAATGGCCAGTTCATCACCAAAATCAACTAAAAATGGAGTTTCTCCTAGAAATGGAATTATAGAAAATCCTATCCTGGAACTCCGATCAGAAAATCATGATATGAAGGTAGTTAAATTAAGTTTTATAATCAATAGTGTGCATATAAGGTTAAGTTTAATTACTTGTGTATATAATATATATATGTGTGTAAAAATGTGAATAATGATACTAAAAATCCACTGCAATAAAGTGGTGACAAGATCAGTAACAATGATCTTCCATTTTTATTTCGTTTTGGTGATTTGTTTTGTTTTAAACTCAGCAATTTAGCAAGAATTATAAAAAGAAAAATGTTAGGCTTTCTCTCGGGCTTCTCCTAGCCCACCACTAATTTCAGGCCCGGCTAGTTATTTAAACCTTCAATGACCTTTGGGCTTGTCTCTTTGAAGGTTCTAAATTCAAAACGGCACAATAAATAAACAGACTATAGAATACGTATATATTACTCTTTTCTAAATATTATTATTAGAGTTGCATTTGGGAACTTTGTAAAAGAAATCTAGAATTTGGATGTTAATTTAAAATTCAATTTTCATTACAATAAAAAATAAATATATAGTAAGAGTCAAATTAAATGTAACATGTGTAATAAATTAAGTTCCTGGAAAGAGTTGATGAATATTAATATTTTATTTAAGAAACCAGGAAGCACATGATCCATACTCTATAAAATTGTGCCTCTTTTCCAATACCAAGAAGTAAATATTCCAAAAAAAAATATTTAATTGGATCAACGAATCATTCGTAAAATAAGTAATTAAATTCATAAAATTTAAGCATATATAATTTAAGACGTACCTTGAAATTGAACCCTCTTCATGTGAGCCTAAATGCATCGGCATAATTCAGGTCAAGTGTACTGAAAATTTAGATTTATAAAAATGGTGGTGGCAGACAGAAAGAGCAAGCAAAGTTGCTAAAATGGTTTTATAATTTAGTTGAGTCTACTTCTAATAAAGTCCCAAATCAAATTCGTGCAACACAAATCACTCAAAATGTGGCTTGATAAAATGAGATGGGGGTTTCTATTTGCTTAGTCAAAATTGATATGCAAATTAACATATGCGTCTTCTTCAAATAAACCAAAATTGTTTGACTATAATTACTCTCAATTGGATCTCAACAAACAATGGGCTGCCTAACCTACCCGGCCATGTTGACTTTCTTGCTTCCACTCGAGGTATTTAGACATTTTCAAGAAGTTTTAACTTTCAGAAATAGGCACTAAGACAAAGCATAGGAACAGTCTAACGATCAATCAGGACTCTTAGGTGTATTATTCAAGAAGTTTTAAATTCAATCCACCTGCGTTGCTAATAGAGGTGATCACTGAAGGAATTTATCTGACCATTAACTTTAGAGTCCCAGAGGATTAGTTAAGGTGAGTGTAAGATAGCTTGGACACCCGTTCCAAAAAAAAAAAAAAAATTGATTAAGGATAGGAACTAAACATTTGTAACAAAGTAACTGCAATGTCAAATTAATGGAAAGTTTAGACTGAAAGATTGCTGGTTCATGTGACAAGAAATACTTTAAGGAGGCGTTTGGATCATATAATATTTTATTATAAGAGGATAATATATTAACGGAATAAAAGATCATCTTGAAGATTAATAGGGATGTTTAGAAAATGCGTTTGGTTGGTTCGAATAAATTTGTGAATAATATGTTTGGTTGGGAGGATAAATGGGTAGATATGTTCTATAGATTAATAAATTGCCCTTATTTTTAAATATTAATATAACAGTATTTTTTATTATTATTTTTTGAATAATTTTTTTAACCCCTTACTTTTCAAATTTAGTAAAAACACCCTAGCAACCAAAAAGCATTTTAAACTTAACAAAAACACCACTACCTACCCCAAGCCACTGCCGGTAGCCAGCCCGTGCCACAAATCTGGCCGTGAAAAAAGCCTGACCGTTTCACAAATTTGGCTAGCATATCTCTTTAGCCAAGCACCTAAACGCTGGCCGTTTCACGACCAAAGACCTGACCGTTTCACAGCCATAGATTTGGTCATAAAACAACCAGATATAGCCTTTTCCGACTATGGATCTGTGATCCATTGTTGGAAAAAAGTCTCACCGACACACGACCGGCCATATACGGTCGGTCGTACGCCACTATGACGACTTTTGACAGCCTCTGACGGCAGTCAACGGTAATTGGCGATGGTGGCCAGTTTTGGGTAAAATGACATTTTTGTAAATAATGACAAAACAAGGGCAATGTTGTTCGAAAAATTTAAAAAGTTAGGACAAAAGTGTCTGCATGGGTGAATTGAGTGTTTTGTAAATGTTAACAAATATAAGGTTAATTTGGACCAAATGCTTAACTGTTTAAGGGCAATATGGGAAACAAAATTGTATTACCAGAGGTAAGCTTTAATAACAACCCCCCATGGTATTAATATTCTCGACAATATACCCCCAAAAGCTACTGTTTGTCATAAAATATTGTGGAAATAATTTTTTACAAATCAACCAAATATTTCAATTTAAAAAGTATTATCCCAGTTATTTAATATTAACACCGACGCAAATGGCCCTAAATTATATATTATATATTTGATTGCCCCATAAAGCAAGGTGGGTGATGACAGGATATCACAAAACTGAAGAATCACCATTCTCTTTTTTCCAAAAACGGGCGTGAGAAACGCACTTAAAGAAAACTCCAAACCCAACACACACTTGCTTAAGTGCGTGTCTACCCTCCCACTTTCCCCAACCTTTCATCACACCATTTACTAAATTTATGTCCAATTTGAACCCACTTTCTTCAACCCAAAACCCAACAAAAACAATTGGAATTTCTCCAAATTTTCACATCCCAAAACAATGGCCCTCATCAACAACAAACCCAAGAAGCAAAACTCCTTTTACCAGTCCAATCTCTGCACCACTCTTTTCTTCGTTGTTCTCTTCACCATTCCAGCTCTTTTTCTCCTTCACACACCCACCACAACGATTTGTACAAGCATTGTTTCCAACCATGTTATGAAGCCCTGGTCTGGTGATCTTCGCAATGCAGTGTTTGCATGGAATCGTCTTGGGTTTGTGTGGAATGATCCGCCGCGGAAGACTCTGAAAATTGCTGTTTTTTCGAGGAAATGGCCGATTGGGACGACCCCGGGTGGCATGGAGCGGCATGCGCACACTCTGCACACGGCTCTGGCTCGTCGAGGCCATCAAGTTCATATTTTTACATCTCCCGTGCAGAGCAGCGGCCCCTCTACGGCTCAAGAGATAGATAATTTTGCGCCAAGGATTCACTGCCATGAAGGGGAGCCCGGAAAGTGGAGATACAACAAAGCGTGGGAACAGTTTGATGAAGAGAACCAACGGGAAACCTTCGATGTGGTTCACTCTGAGAGCGTGGCGCTTCCTCATTGGCTTGCGCGAAACATTCCGAATCTCGCGGTTTCATGGCATGGAATCGCGCTTGAAAGCTTGCAGTCTGATATTTTCCAGGACTTGACGCGCAAACTTCAAGAGCCCATTTCGCCGGCTTTCAACAGAAGCTTACAGGGAGTCGTTCCGAAACTACTAAAAGAGATTCGGTTCTTCAAAAACTACGCCCACCACGTTGCGATAAGTGATAGTTGTGGGGAGATGTTGCGAGATGTTTACCAAATCCCGAGTGAAAGAGTCCATGTAATTCTCAATGGCGTCAATGAAAACGACTTTGTAAAGGACCTTTCTTTAGGCCAAAATTTCAGATCAAGAATCGGCGTCCCGGAAAATGCAAGTTTAGTTCTCGGAGTGGCCGGAAGATTGGTGAAAGATAAAGGCCATCCTTTACTTTACGAGGCCTTCTCCAAGCTCATGATCGATCACCCAGATGTGTACTTAATCGTTGCAGGGTCAGGGCCATGGGAGAATCGTTACAGAGATTTTGGCTCTAGAGTTGTGGTTTTGGGTTCAATGAGTCCCGCTGAATTGAGGGCATTTTACAATGCCATTGATATCTTTGTGAATCCGACGCTGCGGCCACAAGGGCTCGATCTCACGCTCATGGAAGCAATGATGAGTGGTAAACCAGTAATGGCTTCAAGGTTTCCGAGTATTAAAGGTACAATTGTTGTTGACGATGAATTTGGTTTCATGTTTGCGCCGAATGTGGACTCACTGTTGAAGGCATTGGAGGCTGCGGTGAGAGAAGGTCCAAAGAGGCTAGCGCAAAGAGGGGAGGCTTGTAAAAAATATGCAGCCTCCATGTTCACTGCAAGCAAGATGGCATTAGCATATGAAAGATTATTTCTTTGTATCAAGAATGAAACTTTTTGTAACTATACAGATTAGGTTATAATTCTTTTTAGTTCTATTTCTTTTCTTTGAGACAATATTATTATGTTGAGGAATTGTACTTAAAAAGGTAAACAAATTATATAAATTATGATGCGATAGGTAGTCCAAGTCACATACATTTCAATGTCCTCCTTTTATGGGTTAGGCCCAAAATAAATGTTGCTTCCAGAACCATTAGCCGTTCATATAAAAAAAAGGAAAAGCAGGTTTAACTTGCGATGTAAGGATACCTCCAGGTACAAGGGCTTACTTGAGTTTCGCCACAAGAATTATGACTTACTGGAATGCTTCGGAATAAATTATAATAGCGTCGGAAAACATCCATTATCACGCCCAAAATTTAATCCTCAATCAATTGTTTTTGGCTCCTTGATGGTAAAAAATGAGAGAATGATTTAATATGGTCTTTTAAGTTAAAAATTATTAGATGTCATACATATACAAGGATAAGAAGTGTATGTACGTCGATAACAGTAACAGGACAATAAATACTGCATTATTGAATTTGTTTAGTGCTGCCTCTGAATACAAAAATGTTTCTTTTGTTTGTTTAATTTAGAGGTTGAATACAAGTAAACATTTAATGAATCTATACATTTGATGCCTAGTTACCCCTAATGAATTAACATGATTGATCTCTCTTAATACAATTGCGTTAAACGATTTCTTTCAAAACGATAATAAGCAGGCCTAGTCCTCAAAAACAAAAGCACACTGGAGACTAAACCCAAAAGCGATAGGAATCCCCACCACACAAATGTTAAGAAATAACACTGTCTCCCCATGCACACCACCGAGTCTGTGATGATATCTTTAAGGCCAGACCTCACATTTGCATCATAAACTATTGCAGCAAGAACTCCATAAACAAGTGAACCTATTGGGATGTTGGTGATCACAATGTTGTGATTGACTCCTACGCTATTCGGTCCAAACAATTCGGATGTTATTGATACTGCAGCCGCAAATATGAACCCCGAGCTCAATCCAATTAGTGCTGTACCTGCATGTAATGCCATTGACTGCCCCGATACGGCCAGCAAACAGAAGGCTACCGGCGTTGGCAATAGCGCAATCGCCAGCCATCCCGTTCTCGCAAAATACATCTTCCTGCATACACAAAAGTTTGGTTAATGTTTCACATTAGTTTTTATTATTAGCTTTTGGGTCAAATGATAACTTACGTGCGAATGTAGTCAGGTGCAGCGGAAAGCAGGCGGCCGAAGAAGGAGAAGGAAGAATAGAGAGTGACAAGAGTGGTCGTGCTGGAGCTTTGTCCTAGGGATTGTGCAATTTGTCCGAGATTGTTGCTGTAAACAAGGCCAATGGTTCCCCCACAAAAATATGCAATGTAATATAGCCAAAAATCCAGTCTGCGCACAAGCAACTTCGCCGAGTGCTCCTCTCCAAGCATTGCTAACTGATCTTTCCCCATCACTGTCTCACAGCATCCATCACTCTCAGTGCTCTTCTTTCTAGTAATACTATAAGTAGAAACATCATTTTCGCTTAAAAGATGACTATTTCCATAGCTACCTGCCTCACGGGTAAGGAGCTCTTTATGCAGCTCGAGGTCATCAACATCAACAAGAAGGAAACCAGAGCCTTCAAGGCGAAAACTCGAATGGATTGTACGACGAAACCAGTCTCGAGCATATATAATACCGGGAATAAACAATGGAAAAGCAAGAAGAAAAAGGGCTCCACCAAAGAGGAGACGAGCTGTTGTTGCACCTGATGAGTTTGAGCCAAAGAGAAGGAGATAGACTCCAGTGAGAACAGCTATGAAATTCAATATGAGAAAAATGAGAGAGTCGCGTTTAACTCCATCAGGGGGAAGAGGGTCTAAAGAAGGCTGGCGAAGAATTGGAATGAGGGCTGCAACAGAAGCGAGGAGAGGAACAAGAGCATTTAAAAGGAGATATAATGAACTTGATGAAGAGTTGAATGCATTGCCAGCAAGGGCATATAGGGCTGCACTCACTCCATTGAAGCTGATTGTAAGTGAGAGAGCCAGAGCTCGATTTGCAGGGAAATTTCTGATGCAAAGAACGAAACACACAGTGTTGAACCAGCAGATGCTGCATCCAGCTAACAAACATAGAAGAAAAACCTGCAAAAAGTTTCATTGTAAGGCTACAAAACATTTTACAAAGAAAAAGATCAGTTTACTTATCTAAAATAATGAATTTCCTATTCATTTCGTAGAAGATATATAAGAAAAAATTAAATAGAATCACAAAGGAAAACATGCTTTACATTGTAAAAATAAGTTAACCAAGATTCATTTTTGAGTTTATAAATTTCACAAGTTCGAAAATAATTAATGAAAATGTTGTAATTAACTAATAAATCTAGTTCTACTTTAGATCAAATCTCACTCAATATGAGGTAGGTGTTAACTAATTGAATTATGCATAAGGTTTTAAGATTGAACCGGCTCATATAGAGAGACTATCCACAAATTCGATTTAAATTTATAAGTTTAAAAAGAAAATTATAAAGCTTGACATAAACAATTAATAATTTTTTGTTTCAAGTCTCAGATTAGACTGCAATATAACAAACGCCGATATAATTAATTTTAGGGCATTTTAGACTTGTAGTTACTAACTTACTATGCTAAAATTATAAAGGGGTAACTTAGTATTAATAACAAACCTTGGGGGAATTCTGTGAAACATTTAAAAGTATAAGGGGGTTTAATATTTTAGTTTTGCGACCTCAACAGAATTTTCGATTTTGTCCTATGCAAATTAATAATTAATGGTAGTTTGTAGAAGGCTACCTAATCTCCGTTAAAAAATTGGAAAAAAAAAAGAAAGATATAAAACACTTAAATCAAAGGGAGAACGACATTGTCCCACCCAAGGTTTGACGAAACCAGACTTTTTCAATGGTTAAGTTTCGAAATGACACTTTCGTGAGGTTCTATAAGTGTTTTTTAATAATATTTGGTTGAAAATATAAGAACACTCATAAATAATTTATTATAAATTAAAATTTAATTAAATCAAAATTTTTATTTGATTATTTATTAATTTAAATATAAAAATATTTATTTATTTAATTAAGAATATTAATTTTCTATGTTAATTAGTATAAATAAAAAATATTATAAATTTAATAGATTATTAAATAATAGTAATGAGATATTGATGACATTATAAATAAATAAATAAATATTAAAGTAATTTAACTTTAAACAATTCCATATCATTATTCTTAACTTTTTAGGTGGAATTAACTATTTTTTTTACTTTTTTGACTTTTTAATATTTGATTTTTTGATTAATTAAAAAATAATAAAAAATTTATAAAGTAAACTATTGAAAAGTATTTTTCATCTTTTCAATAAAATATTAACAGATCCTAACGTAAGGTGAGAAAATATCATTTTAAAATTTGATGGATGGGAAAGTGTTGTTATGTCAAACCTTGGACGGGTAAATGTTGTTCTCCGTAAATCAAATTATGAAAATAAAGCCACTTTTGCTTAAAGTGATTGACCAATGAAGAAATGAGGAAGGAGCAGCCATGGATGGCCATACCGCCATTATCTAAATTTAAATAGGCTTCACCGTTCCTTCCAATTTTCAAAACTGATTCCATTTCTCACTTTTTTCTCAGCCACACAATAAATACTAAACCAAACCCAGCAACCCAGACTACGTGTTTTAATTTAAAACACATGTGGTCCTTAATTACCAAAGTGTTTTATTAAAACGTTTTCATAAAACAAAAAATGTTCCCTTAGATAATGTTCTAATTCGTTTCTCTCGTATTCAAGTCACTGTATGACCCTCCAAATTCCAGAAACAGGCAAAACAAGAAAATGAATCTTGTAAAACGAATTTAAAAACCAATGAAAATCCATAACAAGATAAAAGATAAAATAGCGTACCAAAATATAAGGCAAAGAGATAATATTTCTGATAACAAGCCATTGTAGGCCGTAACCGAAGAATCCCATGAAAGCCGCCATGAAAAGAACGACCCATAAAGGCAAATACATGAGCGCCAAACCTGAAGACCACCCGAAAAATTTTCCTAAATCGGAGGCCGTCGCCAAGTAATTTAACTGCACTTGGGAAATCCCCAAAACGGATTTCAAATCCGATGAATACGCTGAGAAATCAAAGTTTGTTCCTGTGAAGGCTTGAATCCAAATTGTGGCGACTAATATCATCCATTTTCTTGACTGTCCCGCCATGAACAGAAACCTCAACAGTAACTTTATATGAAGCAGCGACGGCAAGACTCTCCGGCGAGGGATTCGCTTGGTGGGAGAGTTTATGTAAGAGGATTTGTGTTTGTTTTGATGGTGATGATGAAGATCAAATTCTTTACGTGGCCTCATTTATAATGGAGCCCAACAGATATGGTAAATTCTTTGTTTTTGTCTTGACTAACATTTTCTTTTTCTTTTCTGTTTTTTTTTTTGGAATCAGGGTTATTCACTCTTTTTATTTACTCCTTCGGGGTAAATGACCTCTCCCATAATTTGATGAAATGTCACTTACCTCCCTATTTTAAGTCAACTCATGGAGAAAATTTTGAAATTCCATTAATGTCCTTAGTTCTAAGTATACAAATGAAATAGAAAATGAAAACAACTTTTAGAGGTTACTGTAACAACTACTGTAAACTAGTAAAATGCTTGCATAATAATAATAGAAAATGGGCCCAAAACTTTTCTTTTTATTATATGTAATAAGTCTTTTATACACAAAAAGCATTATTTACCAAATGTCATTTAAAAAGACAAAAACAGGGGAAACAGTGTAGCTATTGCTCCTCGCTTGCCGACGCCCCTCTGACTGCATCATCACCTAGATCCTACATCCACAAAGGAAAATGACGGGGTGAGCACAAAATAATGCTCAGTAAGTAAACCCTCTATTTGTCTATCCCCGTAACTATTTTTCTTAATTCCTTCCTCACTCTTTATTTCTATTGTTTTCTACTAACGTCATGGCCTCATCCTCACTCTTCATGACTGTCGGGTGGAGTTCACACAGCACCAACCCGCTCTTAATGATCTACCGAGTGGGGATCACAAAGCACCTACCCGATTTTCATAACTATCGGGTGGAGACCCACAAGCACCTACCGTTTCTCATGACTTTCGGGTGACGATCACAAAGCATCAACCCGTTTCTAATAACTATCGGGTGACGATCACAAAGCATCAAACCGTTTCTAATAAATCGGGTGACGATCACAAAGCATCAACCCGTTTTAATGCTCTTCTCATTCACTATATCTAGCACTTCCATTCTCTCTACCCTTAGAGTAGTTGCATTCACAAAGTTCTCTACTATAGAGCAAGTGCATACACAAAGTTTTCTACTCTTCTTAAGTCACTTCTCAATGCACAATTAATGCATATGGATGGTTCATCTCCACTAATACACTTATGAAATGCCAACATGCAATGTTGCAAGAATTAAATTTCACTACATCATACTCAAACCTCTATTAGACATTTCATCAAACAACTCAAGTGCATAACAAGACTCTACTATAACAATAATTCTATGTCTTTCTTAACCATCCAAAATGGGAGAAAACTCCTCACATAGCCATAAATCCTGCCATAGAATAAAACTTCCAAAAGGATTTCTCAATATCCTTCAATTCCATCTCAAACTACATTCCAACCCACACTCACTTTCATAATTGAAGTATATGAACAACCACAAAGCAATAATTATCTCCATTTAAATTAAAACATAGCATATCACATGTATATACATACATACATAATTGCTATTAACTCTCTTTCAAGAAAGGTCTCAAGTCTCTACTTGAGTTGGGATTTATTTACCTTGTGATGGAGAGATCTCACTAGCACTTTTTCTCTTGGTTTGCTTGACTTTTCTTACCCTTTAAACAATTAAACATTCAACCAAAAGACCTCAATAATCAAAGATACACAAAATCTCACAAAACTTCACATCCAAAGCAAGAATCCTTACCTTAGGATGCTTAGATTGATTTTCTATCCCCAAATCACTCCAAAAGCCTCTAAAAATCCTTGAACAAAAGAAAGAGAATTTGAGGAAGTAAGAAAAGAGAGTGGTGGTGGAGAAGAAGAATGAAGGGTTTGCAATGACTTATTCATTTATTACAATGATTGCAACGCATTCCCATTTTGCCCTTACTCTTCCTTAGGAATTCCATTTATATCCTTTGATTCATTACAAACACACCCCCATATTAACATATTCTCCATGAAAATTCCTTACATTTTACTCCTCACTTTTCCTACTAATTAGGAGTAGAATGGTCAAATTGTCTTTAGGGAAGAAAATATCTAAAACTTAATAAACATTTTGGTTGGCACATCGCCGCGGCGAAGAAGCTTCTGTCGTCGCGGCGAAACTATCCAGTAGCTTCCCCGTGGGCTTCAACACCTCTTCGCCGCGGCGAAGATTCTTCTTCGCCCCGGCGAAGCCTGGAACACTAAACTTTTTCTATTTTCACCAATTTCAAGACAAGTATTCAACATACCACTCAATCAAAGGTCAACCAAACAATAATATTAATAAATCGACTCAAATAAGAGCAAAAGAAGAAACATTAGCTACGTACCTCAAGTGGGGCGTTACAGTCACACCTCACTTAGGACACTTAATACCTCACCTCACTTAGGACAATCTATGTGTCTTGCCAACTAGTTTTTTTATTAGGGTTTTTCTCTTTTAAGAGATTTTATACACGGTCAAATTTCTCAGTGTATTGTCTCTTTTTATAATAAGAACCTAGAGATAAATTATATGTATGTGGAATCATAAAGTCTTTAATTCATTAGATAGTAAGATTCCAATAGTGTATATTTATTTTTTATCAGACTAAAACATTTTCTATAATGTTTATTATATCCTAATGTACATACAATGTAAAATTTATTTCATAGACACGTTGATCAACTTTATTTAAATTTGATACTTATATGAAAATTGTTTGGCTATACTTTTTTACACTTGAGAATAGTATATTTCACGTCAAGCATTTACATATTTTATATATTATAAATATAACTCAATGTACTTGTAAATGACCTCCAAATTTAGCATCAACAGTTGGTAATATCAAAATTATATAAATGGTAAATCTCTTCCATGTATATAGTATTTATACTGCCCGCACTCATTTGCATAAGGTTATTACCTTGTCCATGGAATAAATTATTCTTCTATCATATCGCAACACATAAGTTTAATAATAAATTACTAAAAATAATTTGAGCAACAAGGCGCCAAAAATTTACAATATTTCCAAATAACTTCTGCATATTATATCACATAATAATTAAATAATAAGTACTCATAATTATATGTATAGAAATTCAAATAAAACATTATAAAAATCAAAATTTGTCTTTGATAGCATATAATTCTAACATATAAACCTTTAAAGATAATAAGGGGGGCAATGTCATTTGACCAAGTATATGAGGTCTGAATGATATTTCTAATTACTCAAGTTTTAACTAAATTCGGTTAGTAGGTTTAAATCAAGACCAATAATTGGTGTGAACGTGGCAGAATGTGATGGCAATAGAATAGAATCTACCAGAAGTAACACATCACCTACTCAATTATTAATTTCTAATCGTAAATAATTAATTAAGTATACAGTGATTCCTCGTACTCGAATTTTGTATGATGCAACTCAAACGTCAGATTAGAGTTGGCAATTTTGTGTTTTATTTGCTAAATTCTTAAGAGTTACAATTTTGTGTTTCTTGGAATTTTACTTTTATTGGAATGTAAGGGTTGTTTGATTTGTCATTCAAACACTAAATTTTTGAGTTAAATTTTAATATTTTAAAATTTTAAAAATATTTTTGAGATATTGTCATTGACAACAGATCTGATAATAAATCTGGTATTTTTTGACCAGATCCATGGTCGTATGCTATTACGGGAGATTTCGGTGTGACAAATATGAGTGAGTAGGAGTGTTTTCATTAATTTATAAATTTTTTTTATTGTAGAGGGTATTTAGCTAAATCAATAAACTTACGAGATGTTTTTGTTAATTTTTAAATCCTATCTCGTAATAACAATCAATTTCAATTTTTTCAAAAATACAACTCAAAATAATAAAATAAACACAATTAACACCTTTTAGTGGTAAAAAGGAAATAAAATAAAATAAGGATTTATAACCGTTAGATGATGTTATTAACATGTGTAATTAAATCCTTAAAAAATGAGGTAAGATAAAATGAAGAAAGGATCCAAATAATATCAGTGTATGATAGTCGATAAATATGTAAAAGAATGTAACCGTCAAAATATAATAAAAAATGGATTTGTGAAGAAGTTGTAGGGAATTTAATTCCAATCTGATTCATACTAGTGGTGGGGCTTGAGAAAACAGCAGCCTTAGTCCACTGGAAGACCAATAATATTAACAGGCTAAAGTGAGGCAGCTTAATTTGTTGTAATTGTAATACATTAACATTCTAATTATCCTACTAATTGTCTACTTGAAGGTTTTGTTTAGGTGTAATTAAATTAATGAATTATAGCAGCCAGCTTGATTGACAGTCGAATATTTTGTCTATTTAGAAAATACAAATGAGATCACTGTCGTCTGTTTATATACTGGATTAATGGAACTTTTTATTTAAATTATTTATGTTTCACGTGATTATAGGATTTTTAAGAGTAATAATTGTGTTTAGGTAGGCAAAAAATAGAGAGAAATTTGGTAAATAAGGTGAAGCTAGCTTGAATTTGGACAAAAAATGATCAAAGTGTTGAAAACAAAATACAAAAGTTTAAATAAGGAACAAAATACCCATTCCACGGTTTTAAAAATTAAATGAGCAGCACATGGATCCAATAATATATAATAATTGTATTTGTCTTGTCGCCAACGTGAAAAGAAAAAGGAAAAATCATAATTAATGGACATGCAGACAAATTACTAATCTCATAAATAATTAAGATCTGGGTTGTCAAGTTAATGAAATTATAATTACTACTACTTTATGCCTCCTGGGGCTTGGCTTGGGGGGAAATTAATATATATATATATATTCAACATCTTAGACTTAGAGGGGCCAAACGGTAAGTATTTTATGTGATTGACAGAGAATTGCAATTAAGGAAATAAAAGTGGCCCACACCACAAAGGACTTTATTGTTATGTATAAAAATAAGAACCGACATGACGTATTGAAAACTATCTAATTAAAATCCAAAAATAGGGAGGGCTTGTCGCGCTGTGCAAATGCAATCATTTTAATTCCTTAAAATTTCAATATAAGTTCGTCTAAAATCATTTTATTTTTATTTCTCGATTCATTTATATTTTATGTGGTATAGATCGAATGACCAAGAAATTTGTATGACAATATTTGTTATATGGTTAACTTTATTATTTGCTTATTACAAAAGCTTTTCAGTTAAATGTCAAAGACGTCTATTTTGTCATATTCTCATTTTCAAAACAAAAAGTTATGGTCTTTGTCTTGATGTGTTGTTTTGCTAATAACTGCAATTTTAATTGAAGGAAATGACAAATCCTTTGCTAATTGTATTGTTGTGTTGTGAATTATTACATATCAACAAACCAAACTCATCCATCGCCCCTTCTATTCACATACAAAAATCCTGTACCAAAATTTATATGAAATTTCAGATTTTCCTCTCCTTCGACAAACTGAACACGTACAGGAATTTACTCCACAAACAGGCTTTTCCATTCTTTGTCGTCTTCAAACGCCCCGGACTTGAGAAGAGAAGAATTAAAACTCCACCCTCGACCAAAATTTTAGCCCGCAGTCCTTTTCAATCGCATTTCCATGTTTTTATATGGATGAAAGTAATTCTCAGTTAGGAAGAAAACGTACAATGTATTTCACTAGTTAACTGGATCGGGCCAAGTGTCTTTGGATTCTTCTCCAATTGGGCTACTTTCATTATGGTATTTCTTACAGGGTTACTGTGCTACCTTCAGAAAGTTTATATCAAAGTCCAGGATCTAAATTTTCGGCCCATTCAATTTCGGCAAGGCTCTGAAACATACTATGGACTCTCTCTAAACCCTGATTCACAAACCTTGAACAAAGGCACGCCATTTTTCTTCACTCTCAGACGCAAACCGTGGCTCTTTAACATCCGCTTAAACCCCACAAAAACTCATGGCTTCTGTTTCATTAACTTTTCATCGAACCTTTTAAACGCAATTACAAAACCTCACCTAAATATCTTCATATGTTTGTTTTCTTCAATGGATTTGAGAAGGCTTTCAGTCACCAAACCTTACACTCTTTTTATCTCCGTCACGCGTCCCTTAACTCACGTGATATCCACCACTCCACAGCCGCAACAAGACCACCATTCTCAACCGCCTCCATTGAAGCCTCAGAGCCATTCGGATAGTTCTAATTCCAATTTGATTAAGTGCGTATCTTCTATTCTCTCAAAGCCTTCTTTGGATCATTCTAAATGTAAACTACTCTTGCCCAGTTTGTGCCCACACGAGTTTGATAGGCTGCTTTTAGATTTAAGATTGAATGTGAATCCGAAAACGGTTTTGAATTTCTTTTACTTTGCATCTGACTCCTGTAAGTTTCGTTTCACAGTTCGGTCTTATTGTCTTTTGATTCGTTTGCTTCTTTTTTCCAACCTTTTATCGCCTGCAAGATTGCTTTTGATTCGTTTGATTGATGGAAAGATGCGGTTGTGTATTTGAATAATCCCAAAGATAGGCACATTGAGATAGCTGCTGAAATGATTGATTTAAATGTGGTTACTGAGGGGGACATTGGTTTTCAAGTGGCTGATTTATTGGTACATGTTTATTGTACACAGTTTAAAAATGTAGGGTTTAGTTATGCTATTGATGTGCTTTCGACATTTTCTAGTAAGGGTATATTTCCCTCTTTGAAGACTTGCAATTTTTTGTTGAGTTCTTTAGTGAAAGCAACGAGGTACAAAAGGGTATTGAAATGTATGAAACTATTTGTCGTGGTGTTTGTCCTGATGTTTACTTGTTTAGTACAGCAATTAATGCATTTTGCAAGGGAGAAGGATTGGGATGCAATTGGTTGTTTACAAAAATGGAAGAGTTGGGTATTGCTCCAAATGTTTAACTTACAATAACATTATTCATGGTTATGTAGAATGGGAGATTAGATGAGGCATTTCAGTTTAAAGAGAAGATGTACGAAGGCAATTGGAACCTAGTCTTATAACTTACAGTTTTCTGATTAATGGTTCATTAAGTTGGAGAAATTTGATGATGCAAATTATATTTTGAATGAAATGTCCATATGGGGTTTGTTCCGATGAATTTGTTTATAACACGTTGATGGATGGCTATTGTAAAAATGGAAATATTAATGAGGCACTGGATATAGATGATATGATATCCAAGGGGATGAGTCCCAATTCAGTGCATTTAACTCCCTTATAACGGGGTTTTGTAAGAGTGGTCAAATGGATCATGCAGAGAATGTTTTAGAAAGATGCTATCCAGAGGTTTAGTGGTAAACCGGGAGCTTTTACTTCAGTTATTCGCTTGCTATGTGTAAGTTCTAAGTTTGATTCTGCACTTCGTTTCGTTGGAGATGTTGTTGAGAAATTTAAGGCCTGGTGAGGTTGCTGACCTCATTGGTTGTTGGACTCGTAAGAATGGAAAGCATGCAGAGGCAATTGTCTTTGGTTTAGGCTGTTTGAGAAAGGTTTTGCAGCCAATACTGTGACTCAAATGCATTAATTCATGGAATTTGTGGAGCAGGTAACATGCAAGAAGCTGTTAAACTCCTCAAGGAGATGCTAGCGAGGGTTTGGTATTGGATAAGGTCACATATAACACGCTCATCTTGGGCTGCTGCAAACAGGGGAAACTGGATGAAGGTTTTAAGCTTAAGGAGATATGATGAAACGAGGAATTCAGCCTGACATATGTACTTACAATTTGCTGCTACATGGCTATGTAATAGTGGTAAAATGGATGAAGCTATTAAGCTTTGGGATAAGTGCATAAGAAAGGGTTTTGTACCAGATATCTATACATATGGGGTTATGATAGATGGGTATGGTAAAGCTGATAAAACTGAAGAAGGTGAAAATCTCTTTATGAGCTCATCTCTAAGAAAGTATCACTAAATTCTGTTATTATAATACTAATTGGAGCATACTGTAAAAATGGAATATGACAGCAGCTTTTAGACTTCTTAATGACATGAAAGCAGGGCACCCCACCTACTTTGGTTACATATTCTTCTCTAGTACATGGAATGTGATATTGCCTTGTTGAAGATGCAAAAAGTCTTTTTGGCGAAATGAGAAGAAGGTTTGTTGCCAAATGTTGTCTGTTACACTGCACTTATAGGTGTTATTCTAAACTGGTCAGATGGATAAAGTCAGGAATGTCTTGGAAGAAATGGCTTCATTTAATATACATCCTAATAAATTACCTACACTATCATGATTGGAAGTTTTGCAAATTGGGTGATATGAAGGAAGCAGCTAACTTCTGACTTGGATGGAAAAAAAAGGAATTTCACCAGATTCCATCACTTATAATGTCTTCATGGATGGGTATTGCAAGGATGGAAAAATGGAAGAAGCATTCAGAGTATGCGACATAGGTTTATAAGGATTATTCTTAGATGAAATTACATATACTACGTTGATTAATGGGTGGCAGTCATCATCATTAACAATTCAAGAATGATTGTGGAACTCTCAGGAGGTAGTTGCTTACTCTATGTGTATCTTGTCTTGAAACTGATAAAGATTTTAGTCAACTTATTTGAACACTTCTATTATATACTGGTAGTCCATGTCTTCAGAGGTGGAGTTCAGCGGGCTTAATTTATACGTCTTTCTTACTTTCCAGGAGGTCTGATTGTGGATGATATAATAGCATTCACTCACTATCTGTCCAGATTCCGGATAGGTTCTTGAAATCAAATGGTTGCTGGTGCTTCCTTTATGTAATTTGCTTGTACACATTGACACTGACATGCTTTGCTGCGCTTCTGATTATTCTTTAGAAGTTGGCCATATGTCAACTGATTTAATTGAGTTATTTCTTTGGGGTCTTGTTTGGAGTAAAATGGTTTTATTTATATCGGCTTGCTGGTTTTGTTGTCATTGAGGATGCTAACTCAGCTGATATGGTGGTCTACAGCTTGAATTCAGACATGAGAAACTTATTGTCCTCTATAATGTAGATCATTTTCATTTCCCAGTTACATTTCTTCCTGTCTTGGCTGGTCTTGTAATGAACTATATACTTCTAAACGAGTTTTTTTTTTTTTTTGTGGGGGGCTAAAAGCTATATTTTTGCAACATGTGCAGGTTTTGCATGCGAGGTGGGACTTGTAAAGATAGAAATACTACTCATCATCTAATTAGGTGAGTCTCGAGCTGAAACTTGGTTGCTAGTTGTCACGTGCTTAAGAGTCTCGAAAGCTTCTCATGAAAATTGTATAATATTTTACATGTTTAATTTTTCATGAGAATTTTCTTACTATATAGTTGGTATCATTCCTTCAAAATTCTTAGTAATAGCTATATCGAATAAGTGGAGGATTACAGATGTTAGTTTTGACAAGTCCATGGATTTGGAGTTCTATTGGGTTCTGCATTAGTTGATGCCTCAAGGTGAGGCTTCAGGGTTCCTTGTCTCAAATTAATCTAGATTCAGAGCTTGTTATCTCATTAATATTTAATCATATCTTATTTATAGGAAAAAACAGATGATGTAGATCTGGTAGATAATAAGAGAGAAAAAAAGAGAAGAATGGAGAGATAAAATTTAGTCTTTTTGGTTCTGCATAAAAAGGATAAAACGCTATTTGAGAATGCAAAGATGCTAATGAAAATTCAGCAAAATCAGTTCCAGTCTCTAAAGAAATTGAGCTCGATCATTAATTGTGCAAGCTAAAATAGCTTGGTAATTGTAAGATGCCCCTCTTCTGCAATCACCCTTCTGATTGGGTGCATTCGCTTAAAAGCCCTTGCATTTTTAGTCGTTCGCCTGTTGACTTGTTTTTATCTCTGTGGCTAAAGCTTAAAATTCTGTGTTACAAGGTGATTTCTGTCGGAATTCTTGTTGTAGGGAAGCTCTCACAAAATGAGTTGCTTGAATGGGTTTATTTTGGTTTGATGATTGAAGAATGATTTGATAGCTGGGGGTATGTATTTTTTTTCAAATAAATGAAAATTTCCCTTGAACTAAATGGATGCTATATATTTAATTTTTCATCTACCCCTTTCTGGTTTCAGGGATCTTGTTATTGCACATGGGGGATCTATCGTGCATTCTTTTAGCAATGGCTAGTTCTACATCATCGATTGATCCAGATCAATGACATCAATATCAAGTATGATTTACTGACAGTCTATTCATTTATATCGCGCTGAAATTTTGTTTTATATTTCTTGGAGGTTATATACCAATCAGGTAACAAAGAAAATGTTACAAAATGAAGGGAAAAAAAGTACCTGATTTTAGACAATAAAGCCTGGGAGGTCAATGTAACTGTACATAACAATAAAACCATACAATACAAAGCTCGAAACACACAGCAAATGGCAAAGCCACAATTCAGAGGCAAGCATCAGCTAATAATATTTGATCAAAACATCGTGGAGCCAAAGGTTTCTGATGTTTTGTCTCTCGGGGATATTAAACCAGTGTAGATAAGAGAAGCACAATTTCATACATATGGCAATTCTTAAATTTGTAAATGTAAAGAACAGTTTAAGAATTGAAATCATGCATATATATATATATTTTCAAGAGCTAGTTCTGCTTTTAAAATCTTCATTATTTTTATTAGATAATTCTACTATTTTTTCTAAAGTTGAAGGTGAGTAGCACACATGGGTTGAAAAATTGAATCAGTCTCCAGTGCAGCAACAAGTTCTGGCCACAATATAGCAGAAACAGTCCAGGAGCCATCACACTTGGCACTTTGCCTCTGGTTCAGGTAATTAACTCCGATCTTCTCTACAGTGCTACTCATCGTTCCAAGTACCGGCTCCCCAAACCCAAAATCCAGTTCTGCCACTGGGAACCTCCGCCCGGATGACACAACCACCGATGGACCTTCTTTCCCTAAGACAATTCTTGACAGCATCAATCCAGGCCTGTGACTCTCAATCCAATCAATCAAATCCAAGAAATGATCCTCATTTGTTGCTTTTGCTATTGACACTTGAACATTATTAGCAATTTCTGATAAAGAACCCTGCTTCAGTTCTTCAACACTCGCCTCTCCAACAGCCAAAGACAAGACATTGCCTATGTAATTTGCCATGGTGTTTTGGTTTTGACGCCCGCCAAGTCTACTGCGTCCGTCAACTAACCAACCCATCTTGCACTTCTCATGGCCCTCATCAATGGCGGCAGCCATGAGCTTCCAGACATAGGCGGAGAAAGCCTCGATTTTTGTTATCTTTTTACTGTTATTATTAACACATGCAAGCTTGTGCAATCTTCTAATGCTCGAGGCATCAATATGATAAAGACGCTTGAGCAAGATACACCTTGTGGGGATGTTTACAATCTCTTCCAAGCTGCACTTGACAAACGTTTCATCGAGAGAAGGGTGATAAGTTGGAGGGAAACGAGAGCGAAGATGTCTCGAATGATCTGGCGTGCAAGTTATCAACTTGTGTTGAGCTATTTCAGACCAAGAAAGAAGAAACTGGGCAAAAGCACTAGCATCTCCAAGTGCATGGTCGAATGTGAACGTCATCGAAGAGCCCCCACAAGTGTAGCTTGTTACTTGAACTTGCAAAGGGAAATCCAGTTCTGATTTTACAGAAACTAGCTTCCCAGGAAGAGAATGATCAAGGTTGTAGAAGTCTAGATTTTTCAAAGGAATATTTGCGCTGGCTTCTAAAACTAAAGCGCCAGAATTGTCACAAATGATCTCAGGCTCATTGGTGCTTTGGTTCTGAATGATTCTTCCAGCGAAAGGGTAGAAGAAATTTAGGGTTTTGGCGAGCGAATTCTTGAGGGCTTCGATGTTTGGGGAGCTGCGGTAGAAGTAGAAGTATGTTACTGGGAAACGGCCGGAAAGTAAGTCGAGGTTTGAGAGAGTGAGGATATGAGGTTCTGGCAGGGGACCTGAAGCTTTAACAATACTTGTTGCATTGAAGTTTACTTCAAAAATTTCAACTGCTGAAGCCTTTGCTTCCATTGCAATCCCCAGCTTTTTTGGAGTGTGTTTTGTTTGTATGGAGTTTTTGCAGTCTCTTAGCAACAAACATGTACATTTTCATAAACAAGAGATAATTATATAGGGGATATTTTGGTACGAGATAAACATGACGTTACATCATTAGTTGATAAATAAAACAAAAAACACGTTATTACATCTTTTTTGTACTAGTGAACACCATTGTTGATGGTTTTGCAAACATCACAAATTCTTATATTCTGACACTGAATCATCTGTTAAAATTTGTATTGAAATATTTATTTTAAATAGTGATGCAAATAAGAATTATTAATTTTCCCAAAAGAGAAGGCAATCGCCATGTATGTGTAAACTAATGTAGTGCATTTCAATTCGTCAGCACTTGGGATGCCTGCCAAACTCGACGATCCAAAATGAAAGAATTTTTCTTTTGCAATTCGTAGTGGTGAAGGAAGAATGATTTGAGGTTTGGCCGGCCACTTTCCCACTTGATCATCAAATGCATTTAATAATTTTGCTTATGAAATATTATTATCTTACTGGGGCAATTCCCAAAGTATAGGAAACGCACAAAGCCAATGAAAATCAAATATAATGGCAACGGTAGTGCTTGTCATTGCAAAATAATTTCTAATGACGTTTGGAAGATTATAAGCACTAACGTATTGTCAATCTATGTCAGCTTATTCAACTCTAGGGCGGCTAATGAAAGAGAGATAGTTGTTCAAACAAATTAAAGAAAAATAAACTGTTAACAAGGACAGGTACCAAAATTTCGGCATGACCACTCACTTTCCTGCGTTCTTAGAGGACAAAAGAATAAGTAAACTTCAGGGATATGTATGTATTTGCTCCTTATTGTTCCTGATTTTTATCACCTGGTGATTCTAAATTCGGCACCAATTGGGAGATGATCACTCGGGTGGTAGTAATTCGGTAAACAACCAGCAACTTCTGGCGACTCTGAGTTTGGAAGTTCAAGGGTACTGATTGGTTTTAAGCAGTCAGACGGAGAGAAGAAAATATAATCAAGAGTATTGGTGAAGTCAGGGGTGCAGTTTGTAAATGCTGGTTCCCCTGTTGTAACGGCATGCACACTGCATAAGGGAATTGGAAGCTCTTCTGTACATTCTGCCAGTGTTTCCAAGGAAGAGTAGCCCCAAGTAAGGTACTGGTAGACCTGAAAAGAGAAGCACTTCAGAACTATTGCAAGAATATAGGACTACAGAAATATCAATTCATTTCTAAAAGCTTAAAGGAACTTCAAGACAGTTGTATAAACATACTACTTGAGAGTTGAGCGAGACCTTAAAAGAATAGAGACTTTCAGAACCGTTCTCAAATAAATGTTAAGACACTTTTGCTGGGAAAGTCTCATAACAATAGAGTTTCATGTACTAAGTACTTAATGCCATTTGTATAGTGATCTAATGTGTAGAACTTGACTAATCTCACATCAATATTAATTATTTAACATGTCGAGTTGCAGATTAGGGACTTGAATCTTGCAAGTGTCTGTTGGGAATTTTTATTTTATTTTCTGTAGGATATACCATCATCCATTATCACATATCATCAGGTGTTACTATACAACTTAAAAGGAAAGATTTAAATGAATCGCGGGCATGAAAAGATGAACCAATTATATAAACATGAAAAGTAATAGAGACCTTGTCATTCGGGACTGAATTGAAGTCACCAGCCAAAAAAACTGAAGGTGCACACTCATATCTGCCTGACACCAGTGTTTTAAACTGATCTAGGCGTGATAATAGATATTTAGCTTGTGCAAGTTTGACATCAGCCAATTCTGGGTCCCTGGAGCAGAAATAACATACGTTACAAACTAGAAGAAATATTCAAAATAATGAAAGACCATAGAAGACAAGATTACATCAATAAATAATAATAATAATAATAATAAAAAATGATCGGTACAAATGAACAACTTACCAATAAAGGTGCGTATTTGCTACAATAACAACATGAACAAATGGACCTTTGAGTCTAAATGCAGCCATAATTCCTACACAGTCACGTTTTAACCTTACATAAGGGTCATTAAGATCTCCACGATCCTCTAAAGTATTCTTTTTTGATGATGAACCTGAAGATAGATCATTCAAGAAGTAAGCCATCAGTATACCAAGTCATAGGCAGTGGAAAGACAATCTAACGTAATCATGTTAAAATTCTCTTGAGCTTTTATCTCCTATGTACATCAATAAGATATAGATTTATAGTTATAAAAATTCTTTGAATGATCTACATAACATTTTAACATTAGCAAACCCAAAAATGAAAAGAATTAACAGAATAAGTTACCGTTCTTTGGATCAGCATCTTCATTCTCTACAGCCAGAATATCATTCTGTTTATTACCACAGGAAATATTTTCATCTTGCAGTGAGTTTAAAAGATCATTGTACTCTATTCTTTCCTCAACAAGCAATTCTGCACTGAACAAATTACAACTCATATACATTAATGTTTTCATTATGATTGAAAGAACACATAAGTTAGCAATTGTAATGGATTCCCAAGAGCACAAGACAATGAAAAAGCTGTTATTTTAATATGTGGTAAATATAAGGGTTTATAATGCACCTTGTGTCACAAATTTTTGTAGATAAACTTTCAAGTTTTGAATAGAGGCCTTAGCATCTGCTTTTTTCAAATGACTCTTCAGCACAGGGTAAATGTTAACAAGCTTCTTCATTATAAAGTAGACTAATGTTGTAGATAAGAAGGCACGGTTGCCAAAGGTTATAGTATACATTTCATTCTTGTTAGAGCTTAAATACAGTTACCTATCAACTTAAGCATTTGGGTTAATTGGTTACTTCATATTTATCAATGCCAAGATAACCAAGTGATTTTGTGTTTGAATCCCATGAATGTAATTACGTAATTTCTTTGGGGTCTTTTTTGGAGTAAAATGGTTTTATTTATATCGGCTTGCGGTTTTGTTGTCATTGAGGATGCTAACTCAAGCTGATATGGTGGTACAGCTTGAATTCAGACATGAGAAACTTATTGTCCTCTATAATGTAGATCATTTTCATTTCCCATTATCATTTCTTCCTGTCTGTGGGGGTCTTGTAAGAACTATATACTTCTGAAACGAGTTTTTTTTTTTTTTGTGTGGGGGGCTAAAAGCTATATTTTTGCAAATGTGCGTGTTTGCATGCGAGGTGGGACTTGTAAAGATAGAAATATACTCATCATCTAATTAGGTGAGTCTCGACTGAAACTTGGTTGCTAGATTGTCAGTGTCGTAAGAGTTCGAAAGCTTCTCATGAAAATTGTATAATATTTTACATGTTTAATTTTTCATGAGAATTTCTTACTATATAGTTGATCATTCCTTCAAAATCTAGTAGATAGCATATCGAATAAGTGGAGGATTACAGAGTTAGTTTGACAAGTCCAGGATTTGGAGTTCTATATGGGTTCTGCATTAGTTGATGCCCTCAAGGTGAGGCTTCAGGGTTCCTTGTCATCAAATTATATTAGATTCAGAGCTTGTATCTCATTTAAATTAATCATATTTATTTATAGGAAAAAACAGATGATGTAGATCTGGTAGATAATAAGAGAGAAAAAAAGAGAAGAATGGAGAGATAAAATTTAGTCTTTTTGGTTCTGCATAAAAAATGGATAAAACGGCTATTTGAGAATGCAAAGATGCTAATGAAAATTCACAGCCAAAATCAGTTCCAGTCTCTAAAGGAAATTGAGCTCGAATCATAATGCAAGCTAAAATAGCTTGGTAATTGTAAGATGCCCTCTTCTGCAATCACCCTTCTGATTGGTGCTATTCGCTTAAAAGCCTTGCATTTTAGTCGTTAGCCGTTGACTTGTTTTTATCTCTGTGGCTAAAGCTTAAAATTCTGTGTTACAAGGTGATTCTGTCGGAATTTTGTTGTAGGGAAGCTCTCACAAAATGAGTTGCTTGAATGGGTTTATTTTGGTTTGATGATTGAAGAATGATTTGATAGTGGGGGTATGTATTTTTTTTCAAATAAATGAATTTCCCTTGAACTAAATGGATGCTATATATTTAATTTTTCATCTACCCCTTTTGGTTTCAGGGTTTGTTATTGCACATGGGGATCTACGTGCATCTTTTAGCAATGGCTAGTTCACATATCGATTGATCCAGATCAATGACATCAATATCAAGTATGATTTACTGACAGTCTTCATTTATATCGCGCTGAATTTTGTTTTATATTTCTTGGAGGTTATATACCAATCAGGTAACAAAGAAAAGTTACAAAATGAAGGGAAAAAAGTACGATTTTAGACAATAAAGCCTGGGAGGTCAATGTAACTGTACAAACAATAAAAACCATACAATACAAAGCTCGAAACACACAGCAAATGGCAAAGCACAAAGAGGCAAGCATCAGCTATAATATTTGATCAAAACATCGTGGAGCCAAAGGTTTCTGATGTTTTGTCTCTCGGGGAGAAGCACAATTTCATACATATGGCAATTCTTAAATTGTAAATGTAAAGAACAGTTTTAAGAATTGAAATAGCATATATATATATATTTTCAAGAGCTAGTTCTGCTTTTAAAATCTCATTATTTTTATTAGTAATTCTACTATTTTTTCTAAAGTTGAAGGTGAGTAGCACACATGGGTTGAAAAATTGAATCGTCTCCAGTGCAGCAACAAGTTCTGGCCACAATATAGCAGAACAGTCCAGGAGCCATCACTTGGCACTTTGCCTCTGGTTCAGGTATAACTCCGATCTTTCTACAGTGCTACTCATCGTTCCAAGACCGGCTTCCCAAACCCAAAATCCGTTCTGCCCCTGGGAACCTCCGCCGGATGACACAACCACCGATGGACCTTCTTCCCTAAGACAATTCTTGAGCATCAATCCAGGCCTGTGACTCTCAATCCAATCAATCAAATCCAAGAAATGGTCCTATTGTGTTCTTTGCATTGACACTTGAACATTATTAGCAATTCTGATAAAGAACCCTGCTTCAGTTCTTCAACACTCGCCTCTCCAACAGCCAAAGACAAGACATTGCCTATGTAATTTGCCATGGTGTTTTGGTTTTGACGCCCGCCAAGTCTACTGGTCCGTCAACTAAAAACCCATCTTGCACTTCTCATGGCCCTCATCAATGGCGGCAGCATGAGCTTCCAGACATAGGCGGAGAAAGCCTCGATTTTTGTTATCTTTTTACCGTTATATAACACATGCAAGCTTGTGCAATCTTCTTATGCTCGAGGCATCAATATGATAAGACGCTTGAGCAAGATACACTTGTGGGGATGTTTACAATCTCTTCCAAGTGCACTTGACAAACGTTTCACGAGAGAAGGGTGATAAGTTGGAGGGAAACGAGAGGAAGATGTCTCGAATGATCTGGCGTGCAAGTTATCAACTTGTGTTGAGCTATTTCAGACCAAGAGAGAAGAAACTTGGCAAAAGCACTAGCATCTCAAGTGCATGGGCGAATGTGAACGTCATCGAAGAGCCCCCACAAGTGTAGCTTGTTACTTGAACTTGCAAGGGAAATCCATCTGATTTTACAGAAACTAGCTTCCCAGGAAGAGAATGATCAAGGTTGTAGAAGTCTAGATTTTTCAAAGGAATATTGCGCTGGCTTCTAAAACTAAAGCGCGCAGAATTGTCACAAATGATCTCAGGCTCATTGGTGCTTTGGTTCTGAGATTCTCCAGCGAAAGGGTAGAAGAATTAGGGTTTTGGCGAGGAATTCTTGAGGGCTTCGATGTTTGGGGAGCTGCGGTAGAAGTAGAAGTGTTACGGGAAACGGCCGGAAAGTAAGTCGAGGTTTGAGAGAGGGAGGATTGGGTTTGGCGGGACCTGAAGCTTTAACAATACTTGTTGCATTGAAGTTTACTTCAAAATTTCAACTGCTGAAGCCTTTGCTTCCATGCAATCCCCAGCTTTTTTGGAGTGTGTTTTGTTTGTATGGAGTTTTTGCAGTCTCTAGCAACAAACATGTCATTTTTCATAAACAAGAGATATATATAGGGGATATTTTGGTACGAGACAAACATGAAGTTACACTATTAGTTGATAAATAAAACAAAACACATTACATTTTTGTACTAGTGCACACCATTGTTGATGGTTTTGCAAACATCACAAATTCTTATATTCTGACACTGAATCATCTGTTAAAATTTGTATTGAAATATTTATTTAAATAAGAATTATTAATTTTCCCAAAAGAGAAGGCAATCGCCATGTATGTGTAAACTAATGTAGTGCATTTCAATTCGTCAGCAATTGGGATGCCCTGGTTCGGTCTTATTGTCTTTTGATTCGTTTGCTTCTTTTTTCCAACCTTTTATCGCCTGCAAGATTGCTTTTGATTCGTTTGATTGATGGAAAGATGCCGGCTGTGTATTTGAATAATCCCAAAGATAGGCACATTGAGATAGCTGCTGAAATGATTGATTTAAATGTGGTTACTGAGCGGGACATTGGTTTTCAAGTGGCTGATTTATTGGTACATGTTTATTGTACACAGTTTAAAAATGTAGGGTTTAGTTATGCTATTGATGTGCTTTCGACATTTTCTAGTAAGGGTATATTTCCCTCTTTGAAGACTTGCAATTTTTTGTTGAGTTCTTTAGTGAAAGCTAACGAGGTACAAAAGGGTATTGAAATGTATGAAACTATTTGTCGTGGTGTTTGTCCTGATGTTTACTTGTTTAGTACAGCAATTAATGCATTTTGCAAGGGAGGAAGGATTGAGGATGCAATTGGGTTGTTTACAAAAATGGAAGAGTTGGGTATTGCTCCAAATGTTGTAACTTACAATAACATTATTCATGGGTTATGTAAGAATGGGAGATTAGATGAGGCATTTCAGTTTAAAGAGAAGATGGTACTAAGGCAATTGGAACCTAGTCTTATAACTTACAGTATTCTGATTAATGGTTTCATTAAGTTGGAGAAATTTGATGATGCAAATTATATTTTGAATGAAATGTCCAATAGGGGGTTTGTTCCGAATGAAGTTGTTTATAACACGTTGATTGATGGCTATTGTAAAAATGGAAATATTAATGAGGCACTGGATATAAGGGATGATATGATATCCAAGGGGATGAGTCCCAATTCAGTGACATTTAACTCCCTTATACAGGGGTTTTGTAAGAGTGGTCAAATGGATCATGCAGAGAATGTTTTAGAAGAGATGCTATCCAGAGGTTTAGTGGTAAACCAGGGAGCTTTTACTTCAGTTATTCGCTTGCTATGTGTAAGTTCTAAGTTTGATTCTGCACTTTGTTTCGTTGAGGAGATGTTGTTGAGAAATTTAAGGCCTGGTGATAGGTTGCTGACCTCATTGGTTGTTGCACTCTGTAAGAATGGAAAGCATGCAGAGGCAATTGATCTTTGGTTTAGGCTGTTTGAGAAAGGTTTTGCAGCCAATACTGTGACCTCAAATGCATTAATTCATGGAATTTGTGGAGCAGGTAACATGCAAGAAGCTGTTAAACTCCTCAAGGAGATGCTAGCGAGGGGTTTGGTATTGGATAAGGTCACATATAACACGCTCATCTTGGGCTGCTGCAAACAGGGGAAACTGGATGAAGGTTTTAAGCTTAAGGAAGATATGATGAAACGAGGAATTCAGCCTGACATATGTACTTACAATTTGCTGCTACATGGGCTATGTAATAGTGGTAAAATGGATGAAGCTATTAAGCTTTGGGATAAGTGCATAAGAAATGGTTTTGTACCAGATATCTATACATATGGGGTTATGATAGATGGGTATGGTAAAGCTGATAAAACTGAAGAAGGTGAAAATCTCTTTAATGAGCTCATCTCTAAGAAAGTATCACTAAATTCTGTTATTTATAATACACTAATTGGAGCATACTGTAAAAATGGAAATATGACAGCAGCTTTTAGACTTCTTAATTACATGAGAAGCAGGAGCACCCCACCTACTTTGGTTACATATTCTTCTCTAGTACATGGAATGTGCAATATTGGCCTTGTTGAAGATGCAAAAAGTCTTTTTGGCGAAATGAGAAAGGAAGGTTTGTTGCCAAATGTTGTCTGTTACACTGCACTTATAGGCGGTTATTCTAAACTGGGTCAGATGGATAAAGTCAGGAATGTCTTGGAAGAAATGGCTTCATTTAATATACATCCTAATAAAATTACCTACACTATCATGATTGAAGGTTATTGCAAATTGGGTGATATGAAGGAAGCAGCTAAACTTCTGACTTGGATGGAAAAAAAAGGAATTTCACCAGATTCCATCACTTATAATGTCTTCATGGATGGGTATTGCAAGGATGGAAAAATGGAAGAAGCATTCAGAGTATGCGATCATATGTTTAGTAAAGGATTATTCTTAGATGAAATTACATATACTACGTTGATTAATGGGTGGCAGTCATCATCATTAACAATTCAAGAATGATTGTGGAACTCTCAGGAGGTAATTGCATTACTCTATGTGTATCTTGTCTTTGAAACTGATAAAGATTTTTGGTCAACTTATTTGAACACTTCTATTATATACTGGTAGTCCATGTCTTCAGAGGTTGAGTTCAGCGTGCTTAATTTATACGTCTTTCTTATCTTTCCCAGGAGGTCTGATTGTGGATGATATAATAGCATTCACTCACTATCTGTCCAGATTCAGGATAGGTTCTTGAAATCAAATGGTTGCTGGTGCTTCCTTTTAGGTAATTTGCTTGTACACATTGACACTGACATGCTTTGCTGCGCTTCTGATTATTCTTTAGAAGTTGGCCATAATGTCAACTGATTTAATTGAGTTAATTTCTTTGGGGTCTTTGTTTGGAGTAAAATGGTTTTATTTATATCGGCTTGCTGGTTTTGTTGTCATTGAGGATGCTAACTCAAGCTGATATGGTGGTCTACAGCTTGAATTCAGACATGAGAAACTTATTGTCCTTTATAATGTAGATCATTTTCATTTCCCAGTTATCATTTCTTCCTGTCTGGTGGCTGGTCTTGTAATGAACTATATACTTCTGAAACGAGTTTTTTTTTGTTTTTTGTGGGGGGGCTAAAAGCTATATTTTTGCAACATGTGCAGGTTTTGCATGCGAGGTGGGACTTGTAAAGATAGAAATACTACTCATCATCTAATTAGGTGGTCTCGAGCTGAAACTTGGTTGCTTAGATGTCACGTGTCTAAGAGTCTCGAAAGCTTCTCATGAAAATTGTATAATATTTTACATGTTTAATTTTTCATGAGAATTTTCTTACTATATAGTTGTATCATTCCTTCAAAATTCTTAGTAGATAGCTATATCGAATAAGTGGAGGATTACAGATGTTAGTTTGACAAGTCCATGGTTGGAGTTCTATATGGTTTCTGCATTAGTTGATCCCTCAAGGTGAGGCTTCAGGGTTCCTTGTCATCAAATTATATCTAGATTCAGAGCTTGTTATCTCATTTAATATTTAATCATATTCTTATTTTATAGGAAGAAACAGATGATGTAGATCTGGTAGATAATAAGAGAGAAAAAAGAGAAGAATGGAGAGATAAAATTTAGTCTTTTTGGTTCTGCATAAAAATGGATAAAACGCTATTTGAGAATGCAAAGATGCTAATGAAAATTCGCAGCCAAAATCAGTTCCAGTCTCTAAAGAAATTGAGCTCGATCATTAATTGTGCAAGCTAAATAGCTTGGTAATTGTAGATGCCCCCTTCTGCATCACCCTTCTATTGGTGCTATTCGCTTAAAAGCCCTTGCATTTTTATCGTTAGCCTGTTACTTGTTTTTATCTCTGTGGCTAAAGCTTAAAATTCTGTGTTACAAGGTGATTTCTGTCGAATTCTTGTTGTAGGGAAGCTCTCACAAAATGAGTTGCTTGAATGGGTTTATTTTGGTTTGATGATTGAAGAATGATTTGATAGCTGGGGTATGTATTTTTTTTTCAAATAAATGAAAATTTCCCTTGAACTAAATGGATGCTATATATTAATTTTTCATCTACCCCTTTCGGTTTCAGGATCTTGTTATTGCACTGGGGATCTATCGTGCATCTTTTAGCAATGGCTAGTTCTACATCATCGATTGATCCAGATCAATGACATCAATATCAAGTATGATTTACTGACAGTCTATTCATTTATATCGCGCGGAAATTTTGTTTTATATTTCTTGGAGGTTATATACCAATCAGGTAACAAGAAAATGTTACAAAATGAAGGGAAAAAAGTACCTGATTTTAGACAATAAGCCTGGGAGGTCAATGTAACTGTACAACAAAAAACCATACAATACAAAGCTCGAAACACACAGCAAATGGCAAAGCACAATTCAGAGGCAAGCATCAGCTAAAATATTTGATCAAAACATCGGGAGCCAAAGGTTTCTGATGTTTTGTCTCTCGGGGATGAGAAGCACAATTTCATACATATGGCAATTCTTAAATTTGTAAATGTAAAAACAGTTTCAAATTGAAATCATGCATTATATATATATATTTTACAAGAGCTAGTTCTGCTTTTAAAATCTTCATTATTTTTATTAGATAATTCTACTATTTTTTCTAAGTTGAAGGTGAGTAGCACACATGGGTTGAAAATTGAATCGTCTCCAGTGCAGCAACAAGTTCTGGCCACAATATAGCGAAACAGTCCAGGAGCCATCACACTTGTGCACTTTGCCTCTGGTTCAGGTAATTAATCCGATCTTCTCTACAGTGCTACTCATCGTTCCAAGACCCGCTCCCCAAACCCAAAATCCGTTCTGCCACTGGAACCTCCGCCCGGATGACACACCACCGATGGACCTTCTTTCCCTAAGACAATTCTTGAAGCACATCCAGGCCTGTGACTCTCAATCCAATCAATCAAATCCAAGAAATGTCCTCATTTGTTGCTTTTGCTATTGACACTTGAACATTATTAGCAATTTCTGATAAAGAACCCTGCTTCAGTTCTTCAACACCTCGCCTCTCCAACAGCCAAAGACAAGACATTGCCTATGTAATTTGCCATGGTGTTTTGGTTTTGACGCCCCCAAGTCTACTGCGTCCGTCAACTAACCAACCCATCTTGCACTTCTCATGGCCCTCATCAATGGCGCAGCCATGAGCTTCCAGACATAGGCGGAGAAAGCCTCGATTTTTGTTATCTTTTACGTTATTATTAACACATGCAAGCTTGTGCAATCTTCTAATGCTCGAGGCATCATATGATAAGACGCTTGAGCAAGATACACCTTGTGGGGATGTTTAAATCTCTTCCAAGCTGCACTTGACAAACGTTTCTCGAGAGAAGGGTGATAAGTTGGAGGGAAACGAGAGCGAAGATGTCTCGAATGATCTGGCGTGCAAGTTATCAACTTGTGTTGAGCTATTTCAGACCAAGAAGAAGAAACTGGCAAAAGCACTAGCATTCCAAGTGCATGGTCGAATGTGACGTCATCGAAGAGCCCCCACAAGTGTGCTTGTTACTTGAACTTGCAAAGGGAAATCCAGTTCTGATTTTACAGAAACTAGCTTCCACAGAAAGAATGATCAAGGTTGTAGAAGTCTAGATTTTTCAAAGGAAATTTGCGCTGGCTTCTAAAACTAAAGCGCCAGAATTGTCACAAATGATCTCAGGCTCATTGGTGCTTTGGTTCTGAATGATTCTTCCAGCGAAAGGTAGAAGAAATTAGGGTTTTGGCGAGCGAATTCTTGAGGGCTTCATGTTTGGGGAGCTGCGGTAGAAGTAGAAGTATGTTACGGGGAAACGGCCGAAAGTAAGTCGAGGTTTGAGAGAGTGAGGATTGAGGTTCTGGCGGGGACCTGAAGCTTTAACAATACTTGTTGCATTGAAGTTTACTTCAAAATTTCAACTGCTGAAGCCTTTGCTTCCATTGCAATCCCCAGCTTTTTTGGAGTGTGTTTTGTTTGTATGGAGTTTTTGCAGTCTCTTAGCAACAAACATGTAATTTTCATAAACAAAGATAATTATATAGGGGTATTTTGGTACGAGACAAACATGACGTTACATCATTAGTTGATAAATAAAACAAAAACACGTTATTACATCTTTTTTGTACTAGTGACACCATTGTTGATGGTTTTGCAAACACACAAATTCTTATATTCTGACACTGAATCATCTGTTAAATTTGTATTGAATATTTATTTTAAATAGAATTACTATTAATTTTCCCAAAAGAGAAGGCAATCGCCATGTATGTGTAAACTAATGTAGTGCATTTCATTCGTCAGCACTTGGGATGCCTGCCAAACTCGACGATCCAAATGAAAGAGTTTTTCTTTTGCAATTCGTAGTGGTGAAGAGAAGGATTTGAGGTTTGGCCGGCCACTTTCCCACTTGATCATCAAATGCATTTAATAATTTTGCTTATGAATATTATTATCTTACTGGGCATTCCCAAAGTATAGGAAACGCACAAAGCCAATGAAAATCAAATATAATGGCAACGGTAGTGCTTGTCATTGCAAAATAATTTCTAATGACGTTTGGAAGATTATAAGCACTAACGTATTGTCAATCTTGTCAGCTTATTCAACCTAGGGCGGCTAATGAAAGAGAATAGTTGTTCAAACAAATTCAAGAAATAAACTGTTAACAAGGACAGGTACCAAATTTCGGCATACACCATCACTTTCCTGCGTCTTAGAGGACAAAAGAATAAGTAAACTTCAGGGATATGTATGTATTTGCTCCTTATTGTTCCTGATTTTTATCACCTGGTGATTCTAAATTCGGCACCAATTGGAGATGATCACTCGGGTGGTAGAATTCGGTAAACAACCAGCAACTTCTGCGACTCTGAGTTGGAAGTTCAAGTATGTTGTGGTTTTAAGCAGTCAGACGGAGAGAAGAAATATAATCAAGAGTATTGGTGAAGTCAGGGTGCAGTTTGTAAATGCTGGTTCCCCTGTTGTAACGGCATGCCACACTGCATAAGGGAATTGGAAGCTCTTCTGTACATTCTGCCAGTGTTTCCAAGGAAAGAGTAGCCCACGTAAGGTACTGGTAGACCTGAAAAGAGAAGCACTTCAGAACTATTGCAAGAATATAGGACTACAGAAATATCAATTCATTTCTAAAAGCTTAAAGGAACTTCAAGACAGTTGTATAACATATACTTGAGACTTGAGCGAGACCTTAAACGAATAGGACTTCAGAACCGTTCTCAAATAAATGTTAAGACACTTTTGCTGGGAAAGTCTCGTAACAATAGAGTTTCATGTACTAATTACTTAATGCCATTTGTTAGTGATCTAATGTGTAGAACTTGACTAATCTCACATCAATATTAATTATTTAACATGTCGAGTTGCAGATTAGGGACTTGAATCTTGCAAGTGTCTGTTGGGAATTTTTTATTTTATTTTCTGTAGGATATACATCATCCATTATCACATATCGTCAGTGTTACTATACAACTTAAAAGGAAGATTTAAATGAATCGCGGGCATGAAAAGATGAACCAATTATATAAACATGAAAAGTAATAGAGACCTTGTCATTCGGGACTGAATTGAAGTCACCAGCCAAAAAACTGAAGGTGCACACTCATATCTGCTGACACCAGTGTTTTAACTGATCTAGGCGTGATAATAGATATTTAGCTTGTGCAAGTTTGACATCAGCCAATTCTGGGTCCCTGGAGCAGAAATACATTCGTTACAACTAGAAGAAATATTCAAATAATGAAAGACCATAGAAGACAAGATTACATCATATAATAATATAATAATAATAAAAATGATCGGTACAAATGAACAACTTACCAATAAAGGTGCGTATTTGCTACAATAACAACATGAACAAATGGACCTTTGAGTCTAAATGCAGCCATAATTCCTACACAGTCACGTTTAAACCTTACATAAGGGTCATTAAGATCTCCACGATCCTCTAAAGTATTCTTTTTTGATGATGAACCTGAAGAGTAGATCATTCAAGAATAAGCCCCATATACCAGTCATAGGCAGTGGAAAGACAATCTAACGTAATCATGTTAAAATTCTCTTGAGCTTTTATCTCCTATGTACATCATAAGATATAGATTTATAGTTATAAAAATTCTTGAATGATCTACATAACTTTTAACATTAGAAACCCAAAAATGAAAAGAATTAACAGAATAAGTTACCGTTCTTTGGATCGCATCTTCATTCTCTACAGCCAGAATATCATTCTGTTTATTACCACAGAAATATTTCATCTTGTAGTGAGTTTAAAAGATCATTGTACTCTATTCTTTCCTCAACAAGCAATTCTGCACTGAACAAATTACACTCATATACATTAATGTTTTCATTATGATTGAAAGAACACATAAGTTAGCAATTGAATGGATTCCCGAGCACAAGACAATGAAAAGCTGTTATTTTAATATGTGGTAAATATAAGGGTTTATAATGCACCTTGTGTCACAAATTTTTGTAGATAAACTTTCAAGTTTTGAATAGAGGCCTTAGCATCTGCTTTTTTCAAATGACTCTTCCACAGGGTAAATGTTAACAAGCTTCTCATTATAAGTAGACTAATGTTGTAGATAAGAAGGCACGGTTGCCAAAGGTTATGTATACATTTCATCTTGTTAGCTTAAATACAGTTACCTATCAACTTAAGCATTTAGGTAATTGGTTACTTCATATTTATCAATGCCAAGATAACCAAGTGAGTTTGTGTTGAATCCCCATCCTTATAATTAGGTTCATCTAAGTTGTGTTCATCCCTTTTGTTGATTTGTGGTTTTGTTAGATTCACATGCCTTGAAAGTGGCATGGCATATTAGAACTTAAAAATAAAGTTGCATCCACCCTATAAGCTTAAGTTTTAAGTTCAGTAACTTGACAGTCCAACCAGTTGCAATAGAAATTAAAATCAGGGCAGCCAACCTATTTTTAAATTTATTACTACTGATTTGTAATATTTTGCCTAAGACTGATTCCAATCCCATCCCACCCATTTAAGAATATCCAAGCACTGTAAACCACACAAGGTTTAGAGTCAAGATTTTGAGTTTCTTTTCTAATTAGCATCCATGATAGTTAGAATTATGGATGCCTATGGCTTGTTTCAGTTAAATATAAAATTTGTTTGAAATCAATACAATATATTGGATTATAATTTTTAAAGACTACGAGTATATTCCTATAACATGTTAAATATTATCCAATGGGCACATAACTCTTAAATAAAGCAACATCTATCCTGAATCAAAAAAGGAGAAAAAGTCAGCATACCGGGTTGTCCTTATAAAAAATTCCACACCCGTCACGCTTCTGCCCACTCTCTGAACATATATAAATAACACATCAGTCTTCAAATTTGCTTTGTAAAGTCATATCTCGTCTAATTCCTGGTCAAGCTCATAACATAAACCTCACAACAACAATATATTAACAAAAATGATTGTAATAAAAGCAGAAACACTGCTTTTATGCACCTGCACTAGATGATAAATATGAAGGAACACAGTTTTTGTAAAGAAAATTTTAAAATTCATAGATTATGCAGGAAGAAATGGCCTAAAGCAAGACAAAACGAAACACCCGCCAATCCCACCAACATATATACGTAAATGAAACCTTAAGCATAGGAAGTCGGCACCAAAGTTCTTCAGAACAGTTACAATTGCCTTTGACCGTTCTTCCACCTGGGATGCACACAGATTATAAACATGAAAACTCGTGTAAACTTATCAGGGTCAAAAATATGTATAATGAACATCACCCCTACAGCCATGCAAAAATGTATGCTTAGTTTACTGACCTGTCATCTGTTTGCAACTAGGCCGCAAATAGATGGCTAGTCAGTAAACTAAGAGTACAATACAAATCACATTAAATAAAACAAAATTTTAGTCAAAATTTCTAAAGCAGATGGCAGCTATAAGATACCTAATCTGCCACAAAGAGTGGAAGTTGTCAATCCATAAGCATCAGAAGCCCTTGACTTAAAACTCAAAAAGAAAGCCCTCCCTAATCATGTTATAGAGGTCCAATACCAATGAATAAAGAAAAGAGGCTTCTTGAAGCTCATAGAATATTTTTTAAGGAATATGAAACATCAGAAGCCCTTGACTTGAAGTCTCAAAAGAAAAGCCATCCTAAGCATATTATAGAAGGTCCTAATCAATGAATAAAGAAAAAATGCTTCTTGAAGCTCTAAAGCAAGTTTTTTAAAGTGTATGAATACAAAATCAGGTGGTGGTTTTTCAACCCAAATGTTGTCAGAATAAAGCTTGTTACAAAAGCATGATCATGATTTCATTACAAGTACATCCCAACTTTATCTTTTGTCCTAGAGATAAAAGGTGCAGTCAAAAATTGGAAACTATTGACATCAATCAAATGAAAAACAATGAAGCAACTTATCAAAAGGGATGGAACAAAAGTATGAAGATTTACTTGAGGCAAGCAGATGAGAGTGTGGAAAGAGAAACTCTTCACATAAACCTATATAATAAAACAATCTCTGGCAACATTAAATCAGCTACAGCTGCACAAAATTGACCTGTTAATTCAAAATTACTCTATAACCAAGCACCAGACACTTTTAAAAATCTCAAACTACATCTATTGAATTCCATGTTTAAGCTTATATAGAACTCATTCCTAATAGAAACTCAGATGAGCTCCATTCCAATAGAATACACAAATCCCTATATTTGTAGTGCAACGATGCAACCCAAAAAGAATTTACATTTTTGCCTTCAAAGTGTACATTTTTTCCCCACCAAAGTTTCAATTGCTTTTAGCACAAAGTAATATAGGTATCATGAAGTTGGGAGGCCATGTTTTTACAAATAGAATGCTTTACATCTTTATGCTCTTCAATCAAAGTGATATGGCACCAAACAAAAGCAACAACTTCCTATAAGTACCCCAGTTAGATAATAATAGAGGAGAAACTTGATAGGTTAAAAAGTTCAAACATCAGTTAAATTACTAACAATTGACAGCAGGTGATAATTTTATCGTACCTGTGCTAAAATGTTATAGGAGACAAGACTGAAATTGCCACCTGAAATATCAATTTGAAAATCATGCTAGTTATCAGATTTCGAGATGTCATGACAGAGACAATGAACTAAATCTCTCTGTTCATCATAATGTTTCCTTTCTAACCACAAACCACACTCCAGCAACTACAGAAGTTGTTTCTACTTGAAGCTATGCCCAAGTTTTGCATCTTCTGTTTGAATGAGGGTAAAGCAAACTTATGGTTGACTTTTGTACGGAGGGTACAAAGATCAATAAAAACCCAAACCATGCATTTGGATTTATACATCCAAAAATAATTTTTGGTTTAAGGAATTGGTACTCTAGACACCTGTCACTCCAAGTAGACCTCAGGAGAGTTGAACCCCTTACATCTTCATTGAACCAGTTATATACTTTAAAACATTGTCCCTTCATTTATGTGGTAAAACCAAATTAGTTTGTCACACACTTGGAATACAAGATTATTTGTTTATAGACAACATTAGCATACAATTAAAATGAGATGAAATAACATAAATGACCCACTGCCCTGCACAAGAGCAAGTTCCAAAACTGATAAACTGCCATCACTGTACTATTGAATAGCATCCGCATCGAATGTATGTCGAACACTCAACAATTTTCGCCAAAATTTAAGTCATCATAATCAATGTCATCCTGATCTAATAAATTGTGGCAAAAAGGCAATATTTGAAAGCCAACCATAATTTCCAAAACTGTGCGCCCTTCAGTCCACTACCATTAAAGGCTAACAAACTGTGCGGGCCTAATTTTATATTTGGAGCAAGGTAAAAGTAGATTAGAGTCCATGTGCTTTTTAAGAATCAACTCCTGTATAAATATCAATCTGAGAGTTCCGATTGGTAAGAGTTAGATTACTCCAAGATTCAGACTGTTGTTCAGATGTAACAAGAACGAAAATGATTATCTTTAGTAAAACATGGTTAGGAAATACACATCAAAGTGTCATATCATGACAGTAATAATAAAACATGTCTGTTGTGCATGATTGCAAAATATTAAACCGATAAGTCAAAAAGTTGCTACCTCACTTTTACTCCTCGAATGGATATCACCCCCTTCAACAGACATGAATTTTAGGCTTGCTAATGACAGCTTTGAGCTCACTCTTCTGCAACAAATTCTGCAGAATACCCAGCCTTCATCCAGCAACAAACTAGTAAAAACCCACTGGACCCACATCAGAAAATGAGCTAATGAAGACATAAATTAAAGTTGGCTAAGCAAATGAGCAAGAAGAAAGATCATAAACATGGAGATATTTTTCACATAGCATTCCTTTAGCAAGTATATCATCAAAGTAATGGTGGAGAGCCTCCAATGTCTCCAATTACAACCTTGGAAAGAATACTGAAAGGAGAAAGAAGGTTTAAGTCTTACAGAGTATTGACCAACTAAGATGCTCGGCAGTGCACACCTGGGAACAGACAAAGCCAGAAAAAAGGTCACAAAGATGGTGATATTCATCATATGAACTAGTTTGTTACTCCTAACACATAGTCCATAGAACACCAAACTTACCAAATTACCAAAATTGGTTTCATTCGAATTCAAGCTTCTTGCCTCAGATGACTTCCTGGTCAGTACTTGCATAATAATGAGACTTCAGTAACACAAGTGAAAAATGTGAAAGTTCATTCCAATATTATCCTAACAGTCTCTATCCAAGAAAATGTTTATTGCTTTCACGATTCCAACTCATTTGCACATTTATCTGGAATATTTTTTTTTTTTCTTCAACATACTGGTCAAGATAACTTGATCTGGACTAGCAGCAAACAAACATTAATATTTGGAAACTTAATGGTAATGGCCATTTCAGGAGGCTAAATTGTCTAAACTATAACTCACTCTTTCTTTGTTGGACATGAAAGTGTTAATTCGTTATTAAAATTTTATAAAAGGGATTCTCACCATTTTTAATCCAATCTTTTAGGAATTTGATTTTAACTTTCCAGACAACCTCTTTTTTCGTTTCCATAAATAGCCAATAGTACAAATATTCAAACTTTTCTTTACTTTCTAATCATCAAGTAAGAACTTTTTGCATATTATAACCCATTAAATGAGATAAGTATGAAGCAATATTATTCTTAGTTAAAAAATAAATAAATAAATAATAATAATAATAACTAAAAGAACATGTATGTGACACTTAAGCATACCCATATGATAAGCAGCCCGTTCGGTAGGGAACCCAAAGTCATATTAGTTAGATGTAAACTGTTGGGAAAAGGTCTGAAAGGTTATAAGCCTGAACTGATGAACCCAAAGAACTATTTGAAAATTTAGGATTATTAATTTCAGATAGCATATGAACTATATTGGTTCCAGATAAAACAAATGAAGAGACAAAATTTCAAAAAGTATCATACCCTTTCAAAGAGTTTTAAAATTGAAAAGAAAATTGCAATTGACAAAAAATGTGTATAAGAAAATCCGACCTTTAGTCACCAGAAATCACCACATGAACATTTACCATCTCGGAAGTGGTGGAATCTAATGTTATCTCTCACAATAATCTCACTCCCTGTGACTTGAGATGCACCACACATAACACGTGGCAATCTTCGCATATTCTCATGTTCTTCATAATTCTTATGATGCAGCCAGCACTTGTTGTGAGCACTCCAAATGCCAATGCCAACTTCTCACTGTGAGTCATTAATATAATCTTCTTCTCCTCATCAGCTACATCATAAGGAACAGAACTGAGTTTTGGCTGGTATCCATGAGCCTTTAATCTGTTCAAAATTTCCTCCAACACCTGCTTAATCTCACTAGATCTTGAATGCGTCAAGTCACCGGCGCAAGGAACTCATGAATTACTCCTTTCCTTTGTTTCCTTCCACCCAACTAAATCCAGGATTCTTTTTAAGACCCTTCTTTTTCTCAGCCATTTCATCAAACACCTTACGCCCACAATCAAAAAACCCGCATTATACATACATATCAATCAAGGTATTAATGGCATATAGATGAGACACAAAACCTCCAACCAAAAGCGTCTGAGCATGCAACTGCCTACCCAAATTCACATCAAGAATCTCACGAATGAGAGCAGAGGTTTCTATATTTCACCGATTCAAATTGGGGGAGAATAGGGTTTGTTTGGGTTTTAGTTTGGAGAAGAAGAAAAGAGCCGTTGGAGTGACTATTGAGGTGTGCAGTACAAGTTCCTTTTATAATGGAGGAAGTGAAGTTTGGGTTATCAAATTCAACGGCTATTTTTAGAAGTGGAGGAAATTGTCATGAATCTGACACTTAATGTTGCAAATAACAATAATTTGATAACACCATATTGTACAGCTACAGCACGACATGAACATGAACCCAAATCTGAGCTAGGTTGAGCTTGAGATTTCAACCCGTTGGACCTTGCCAAAGCATACCCAAAGTTGGCTTGTGTTTGGCACTGTCCATTCATGTGTCCTTTTTATTTTTTTAAATTTAATTTTATATTAAATTACGTATATTAAAATTATATTTATTTATAATTTTCTTATATACAGTATATACTAATTTGAGTATTATACCTCATATCTTTAAATCACTTAATTACGCATGAGCTTGTATGATTTATGAGAAAATTATTTAAATCAACCCTTTCTTAATTTGAAATAAGTTTGAAAACTTTATAAATATAAAAAAAAGCATTTGAAATAGTAAAAAAAAAAATGTCAAGAACTGGGAATCAAGAAATAAAATATAATCGTATTTTTAATAACATTGTGCAGTAAAAAAGTTTTATAAATTTTAGCAATCACATTTTTAACACTTGTCCACACGAAATGTTTGATGTTATTTCAGCATTTATAGTTTATGAATCTCACCAAAGTAACAGCAAAACCTCTTTACAGTCATGGGACTAACTAATTTTATTAGTAAGTTAATAAAGGTGTAGTTATAAAAATTATAGTTTTGATTTCTTATTTTATAATTCATGTTTTAGTAATACAGTATTAGGATTTTAATTCAGCACTTCAATTGCCTATTTTTGAAACGGATAAAAGATCGTTTCTTAGAACTAGGAAAAATAAGTGTCATTGATGGAACTGTAAATGCAGTTGATACATGGTCAATTGATGTAAAGCCACAAACAATTACCAATGGTTTTAAACGCTGTAAAATTAGGACCACTAATGTCAATGAATTGTAAATTACAAATGAAGTGAATGAGGAGAATAAAAGAGTCGCTATAGAATTGAGTGATCAGATTTGACAACTTCACTACACTAATTGAACGGATATTAATATCTTCTTCGATTATCCAAATGAGCAACAAATTGTGTATGCTTTAACAAAAAGAGAAATCATTGTTGCAATTGGACAAGAAGAGAAAGGAAATAATCCTAAAGATAATGGTACGGAAATACAAAAAGTCTTGTGTCATGAAACTCTAAACATGCTTGAGAAACTAAAAATATTTTGGCTTCAACAAGAAGGTATCCATACTAACGAACTATTACGTATTCATAAGGTAAAAGATGTGATAACAACTCTAAAGCATAAATCATTGTCCCAAACAATTTTAAATAAATATTTTATTTCATTTTAAACTTTTAATTTTACATAACATATATTTTTTTGTAATATACAGATAATTATTACTATGTAGAGGCAATTTTCCTTAAGGCGGGAATTAGAAAAATTATAACTTATTACAATATAGAGTTTATTCTTATTTATAACTATCCCAAATTGTGACTAGAATTTTTGATGACTATGTAAAGTTTATTCCTATATAGAGTATCACTATAGAGAGGTTTTACTGTAATCAAATATAACAGCAAATATCATTATGGACGGATCCAACTATTGATGCATGAGTGTTGGTGACCCCAGTCCTTTTTTTCGTTATTTTGGTTTAGTTTTTCTTTTTCTTTTTCTTTTTTGACCATCTTATATTTGTATTAACGTTTCTATAATTGACTCAACTTATTTACTTTTCTTCTATTTTTTATTATTTTTAAATTTGCCTCTCTAATGTTAATTCCTAGGTCCGACCTTGTATCTAGGGGTGGAAAAAAAAAACCCAAAAACTGAACCGAACCAAAAATTCGGTTTTTTTTTTTGTTTCGGTTCGGTTTTATAAAAAATACCGAATATTCGGTTTGGTTTCGGTTTTTGGTTAAATGAATTCCGGTTACCAGGAAACCGGTTTTTGAACCGAATTTTTAAACAAATTTGAAATTATGCATTTTGGGTTTTTGACTTTGGAATCCCTAAGTAAGAGTGTAAGACCCTAACTGGCTAACTCTCAGTCACTCACTCACTCAGTCTCTCACTCTCACTCTCTATCTCTCTCGACTCTCTCTAGGACGAGTTATCCATCCATAAACATCAGAAGCCCTTGACTTAAAACTCAAAAAGAAAAGCTCCCTAATCATGTTATAGAAGTCCTAATACAAATGAATAAGAAAAGGAGGTTTCTTGAAGCTCCAAAGAAAAGTTTTTTTTAGTATATGAAACATCAGAAGCCCTTGACTAAAGTTCAAAAAAGAACCCTAATCATGTATAGAAGGTCCTAATATCATGTGAATAAAGAAAACGAGTTTCTTGAAGCTCAAAGGATAGTTTTTTACAGTATATGGAGATACGAAATCAGTGGTGGTTTTGAAAAACAAATGTTGTCAGAATAAAGCTTATTAAAAACGCTGATTAATGATTTCAATTACAATAATGACAACTTTATCTTTTGTCCTAGAGCTAAAAGTGCAGTCAAGGACATGGAACAAAAGGGATGGAACAAAATGTGAAGATTTACAGAGGAAGCAGATGGAGAGTGTGGAAAGAGAGAACTCTTCACATAAACCTCTGCATGTTAGAATCAAAGTAATAGCACCCGCAGAAAATTGACATGTTAATTCAAAAATTTCTAAACCAAGCACCAAAAAATTTTAATGTCTCAAAACTACATCTATTTAATCCATCATAGGTTTAAGCTTATATACAAGTTAACCTTAATAGAAACTCAGATGAGCTCCAATCCAATAGAATACACAAATCCTGCATTCAAGGTGCAAGATGCAACCCAAGAAATTTCCCCACCAAAGTTTCAATTGCTTTTAGCACAACGTAAAATAGGTATCCTGAAGTTGTGGGCCCTGGTTTTAAAAATAGAATGCTTTAACATCTTTATGCTCTTCAATCAAAGTGATATTGGCACCAAACAAAAGCAAAACTTCCTATAAGTACACCATTAGAATAATAAGATGAAGAAAAAACTTGATAGGTTAAAAAATCACACAATCACTTAAATTAAACAATTGACAGCTGGTGATAAGTGTTATACCTGTACTGAAATGATAGAGACAAGACTGATATTGCACACTGAAATAACAATTTGAAATCATGCTTAGGTATCAGATTTTGAGATGTCATGATAAAGACAGTTAATGAAAATCTCTGCTGTTTCATCATAATGTTTCCTTTTTAGCCACAAACCACATCCAGCAACTACAGAAGTTGTTTCTACTTGAAGCTATGTCCAAATTTTGCATCTTCTGTTTTGAAAGAGGGTAAAAGCAAACTTAGTAGTTGACTTTTGCTTTGCTCGGAGGGTACAAAGACTAAATAAAAAACCAAAACCATGCATTTGGATAATACATCCAAAAAAATTTTGGGTTAGGGAATTGTACCCTCTAGACACCTATGGCTCTGTCACTACAAGTAAACCCAGGGAGAGTTGAACCCCTCATCTTCGTTGAACCATAGTTATATATTTTAACACATTGTCCCTTCATTTATGGGTAACCAAATTAGTTGTCACACCCTTGGATACAAATTATTTTGTTAGTACAGCATAGCGTACATTAAATGAGATGAAAACAACATTAAATGACCATCGTTGCCCTGCACAATGCATGTTCCAAAACTGATAAACTGCAAACACTGGTACTATGAATAGCATCCCCATCGAATATAATGTCAATCACACACAACAATTTTCGCAAATAATTTAAGTCATCATAACCAATGCACATCCTGAATCTTGATAAAATTGTAGCAAAAGGCATATTTGAAAGCCAAACATAATTTTCCTAACGTGCGCCCTTCAGTCTCCAATAGCATTAAAATTCCTAAACTTGCGGCCTAATTTTATATTTGGAGAAAGATAAAAGTAGATTAGGGTCCATGTGCTTTTAGAATTTAAACATAAATTATCAATCTTGAGAGTTCCATTGGTAAGAGTTAGATTACTCAAGATTGAGGAGTGTGCTGTTCAGCTGTAACATAACGAAAATAATTATCTTAAGTAAAAACAGGGTAGAAAATCACACATCAAAGTGTCATATCATGACAATACTAAAAAATATTGCCTGCATGATGCAAATGATTTAACCAAATAAACAAAAAAGTTGCATACCATCGCTTTTACTCGAAGGATCACCCCCTTCAACAGACATGAATTTTAGGCTTGCTAATGACAGCTTTGAGCTCACTCTTCTGCAACAAATTCTGCAGATACCCAGCCTTCATCCAGCAACAAACTAGTAAAAACCCACTGGACCCACTCAGAAATGAGCTAATGAAGACATAAATTAAAGTTGGCTAAGCAAATGAGCAAGAAGAAAGATCATAAACATGGAGATATTTTCACATAGCATCTTTTAGCAAGTATATCATCAAAGTAATGGTGGAGAGCCTCCAATGTCTCCAATTACAACTTGGAAAGAATACTGAAAGAGAAAGAAGGTTTAAGTCTTACAGAGTATTGACCAACTAAGATGTTGCGTGCACACCTGGGAACAGACAAAGCCAGAAAAAAGGTCACAAAGATGTGATATTCATCATATGAACTAGTTTGTTACTCCTAACCATAGTCCATAGAACACCAAACTTACCAAATTACCAAAATTGGTTTCATTCGAATTCAAGCTTCTTGCCTCAGATGACT